ATATTGGTACTAAAACAGACATACTAAAGCACTCTCGGTGATATGCACTGAAATATGCCTGTCGCAGCAATTCCGAATTATGAGACAATCATGTCTCTGCGCTATCATTGCCAGGACTTTGTAGGTTCAGTGTACGGCATATAAAACCCAACTCAATAGTTCATCGAATCTTCACGCAATACGAATGCAATGGGTGCTAATGTTGCAACTCAAGAGTACGAAATTTCACAATATGAATGTCTATCCATCAGACTTTGATTCAAGAGTAAGCCCCCAGGAGCTTATAGTTATTAGTAATAGCATTGCGCGACAAATGCATTAGTCGTTCAGCCAACTCATTAATATGTCTCACGATGGTTATAATATAAACAATGCCTGATAATTTGAAGAATTTAAAATTACAAAAGAACACGCATTATTCGTCATTAACTTTGAAACATCAAATATTTGTAAGATAATAAGAAAATGTGACAAAAACAATCACGAAACTTCTACTAGTAAACAGCATACCAAACGAAAAAGTACCAGGCGCACATAAGAAACAAAGAGTTTATTTTCCAGAAAGCACGTGTTCGTAGTACCGTTGAAGCGGTGCCTCGCTCGCTTCCAGTACTCGGGCTGCGCGCGCGTGTGTCCACCGGAGTATGACCCCGTCTGTGGTACTGATGACAAGACTTACTCCAACAAATGCTTCCTTGAAATGGAGAACTGTCGGTCTAGGTGAGTTGCCTTCAGTTTATGCTAGCCTAGTACTTTTGTTGCAATTGATGTTTTTTGTTAGTTTTTTCTAGGTAAAAATGTATTTAGTTCATATAAAGGAAATATTTCAAGAATGTAATGATGGTAGATCAGAATACGTTTTGTCTCCACCGCCGTTATTGCCGTAGGCGTCATAAGAGCCTGCAGATTTTGATAGCGACCGAGCAGATTGGATTTTCTGACAATCTTAAACGTTTTGAAGTGCGATCCCCAAACTGCCAAATATGGAGATTATGACAAATGCTATACTGTCCAGTCCCCAAGCGGTCACCGTTAACCGCTCTCCACTTACTCCATTATGGACCTTATTTCCGATGTTTAGAGACTACTTTTGTATTATTCATTCATCATCATTGTGAATTATTCATAATCGGAGATTAAGTAAGAAGTTAAAAACTATCACAAGCGGTTGATGTTAGTAAACCAACTCTCTTTTGCATTAAATATGGGAGAGCCGTACTTCGGCACAAACGGGCTGGCTCAACCGGAGTGATACCACGGCCGAACAGAAAACTGACGTGAAACAACACTCGCTTTGTTTCCCAGATCACCCCTGAATCTCCAAAAATCCTCAAATTCTTAATCCCCATAAAGCCGGTAACGCACTTGTAACGCCCTCTGGTGTTCCGGGTGACTATGGGTGACGTCGAGTGCTTACCATCAAGTGAACCGACTGCTCGTTTACCGACTTATTCCATAAACAAACTATGAGTATCACAAAAATTTATGGGTATATTTCCGAGTTTTAACACCAATTCAATTAGAGCCTGTTCAAATAAAAAAATGAACATTGTCATTGTAATTTAAATATTAGTAGTCACCGGGTTGTGTAACGAAACCTAATTGGCATAATAAAACATCATAATACCTGAAACTATTTTTAGAAATCTCATGTGCTCGCTAGTTTTTATACGTACTTATATAATAAATGAGTGTGTCTATTCGTGTCTCTTTCACGGTAAGATAAAATGTCGAATTGTCGTCATTTTTTGAGTAGAGACAGTTGAACGGATGGAGAGTGTCATAGGCTACTTTTAATGTAGTTCTAACTTCTGTAAAAAGGGTGGGTGAAATGCTTCCCACATTTCGCAATTAACAAGGTAGGAAGTTAAAAAGAAAAAAAAAATGAAAGCCAAAATAGATACACAGGCTATTTGTGACAGACAAAAATCTTGCTGCTTGACTGCCTCATTAACAAAGTGGTCGCAAGTGTGACTGCTGTACAAGGGGTCTGGGGTTCGATTCCCGGGTCGGGCAAAGTATTACTGGGTTTTTTAAAAATTTCAGTTTTAGCATGGATTCTGGAATTGGACCCGGTATATGGCAATAGGCTCACCCCCTATTACATAGGACTCGTAACATAAATTGTGAAAAGTGGGTGTTACATTGTACAGTGGCATTAAGTGCTGTAATGTGCACCTCTGCCTTCGGGGATAAAAGGCGTGATGTTACATTATGTTATGTGATGTTAAAACACTTGCATTTTTATTTTGCAATTTGCCCCTGTTCCCTTAACTCGTCGAGTACCGTCATTGTAGACACAATTATAGAACAATAGGTTGCGGTCACCGGTGACCGCTTAGTGTTCGACAGTTTAAAAAGAGTGAGCGAAACCGTGAGTAGAAGCTAGTAACCAAATAAATCCGTGTTAATTATTGTAACTGTTTATTGTATGATAGTATCCAAGAGACGTAATATGTGATTACTTTGTAAATATGGACATTTCATACTTTGATAGCTAAAGTAAAATAGTTTTAATGTTTACAGCAGCTTCAGAAACTAATTCCTGTGTCAATTGTTTTCATCATTTAGTTGTAGCCTCGACCTCTATCTTATGGGCGTAATGATATAACATCATGTTTTTTAAACTCAATTATGATAAGCGGTCGCCGAGATAGAGTGTTCGTAGGTACCGAAATATATTTCTCGTGTTTTTTAAAAAAATATATTGACTGTATTTTTTTTTTTTTAAGGGGGGAAAATCATCGAATGACTGCTCCCGCCTGGGTGAGGCGGGAGGGAGTGTCAGACTCTTACTGACTAAAAACCATCCCGTTCCTTCGCCTGCACGTCGAGACGGAGCCCCGGTTACCCGTTAGGTTCTCCGCGACATATTGACTGTATAAAACTATGCGAACAGACAATATGATTGGCTAATCAGGCTACTTGATTTTTATATAGAATAAGAGCGTAGACGTATCACCCTGATGATAAGCAATCGGCATCGCCCATGGACACCCGGAACACCAAAGGCATTACAAGTACGATACCGGCCTTTTGGGGATGAGGAATTTGAGGATTGTTAGAGATTCGGAGGTTTGGGGAAGAGGGGGTGGTTATTGGGCCTCTAGTAACTTCACTCACTTGCGTTGAGTGTTGTTTCACGCCGGATTTCTGTTCGGCCGTGGTATCGGCCCATTCGTGCCGATGCATGGCTCTCCCACACTTTTCGTAGAAAGAACCTCAATTTAAGATACAATAAGGACCTCATTGTCTAGTTTGGAAGAAAAAAACATTGGATTGACTATTTTGTATGTATAATAATTATGAAGTATGTCCAACGACCAGCACATTAACCTACTCCAATCTGTCAAATTGAATCATTGGATTTTCGATTATAAGTCAATACAAGACGACGATGAGGTGGCCACCGTACTATAATGAGAACTGTGCCAGAAAAAAAAAACAGCCTCAGGTATTGCAGAGTGTGAATCTAGAATAAAATTTAGATAATGCACTCAAACTTGAAACTGTTTAACAAAATATTTCTCTTCTATTATATGTAAATCATGACGTAACTGACCCGCAATTTGTGTTATATATTTCTTAAAAAAAAAACATTTTTTTTAATGTTCATACTAACTGATTTCATATTTCTTTCGTTCCAGGAGTCTGGTACAACTGAAGCACCTGGGCACATGCACGGAACCCATCGCGGAAGAACCGAAAAATTATCTATATCGATAAACGAATCGATTAACAGTCATATCGATTAATCGCTTTTCTTTCCATAATCGTATTCTCGGGATCGGAATCCCACTTATTAGTGCCAACTTTTTATAAGTAAAAATATACTGTAAAATAATGTAAGCGACCAATCTTCGTCTTCCAATTTATAAAATTTAAGTTTCATATTAATGTTCATAGTTTAATCGATTAAAAATCGATAAGGGTTCCACACTAATCAATCGCAAGTCTTCTTCACATTGGGTTTTTGATAGTACGTAACGGTATTTGGATCTTTTTGCTTCACATAAGAAAGTGTGGAAATTCTTAATCGGCTCATGATCGAGATAGAATCGATTTAACTATGTGATTCGAGCATTCCTTTAATAAATGGATCAGTACAAAAATTCGAACTCACAAAAGTAATTGCAGACATTTCTCTTTAGGTTATATAATTTAGTGATTTTAGATATAATATTTCGACTGTCTATTTATTCTATTATTTATTTCTGTGCGTAGTAGATTTAGGATTATATTTATTTTGTACATAATTAGTGAATTTCTCGACGTATTTATTGTTTTCTAAGAATCGATGCATTTAGAAGAAGACTTATTATAATTTAAACATTTATGACAATAAGATTTTTTTTAATAAAACATAAATTGTTTACAGTTGTTTGCATTTACCGCCTAGTTTTTAAAGCATTTATTTAAAATTACTGCGTCATGACATTTTGTATTCATATTTGTATAATTTGCTCAAATATTACATTATCTCACATAATGACATGCATAAATACGTTAATATCTTTAAGCAATAAGCAAATGAAATGTAGACGTACGATTTTATTTACTAAAAACAATTCAAATGAAACAGTTATTTTAAAACCATTCACAATTATTCCTTCATTTTCATTTAGGTTCATTATAAAAATGAAAATAGATTTACGTATTTATTGTTTAATTTTTAGAATAAAATAATGACTTAATTGATCAAAAATATGTAATTTTTAGTCAATTTAAATAAATTACGTGAATTTTCAACATTTTTATCTACATATATTTAATGTAATTACATTTCAAATAACATTTTTTATACTATATAATCGTTATCTACCGTGTATTGCCAAGTGTAATAAATAATAATAACAAACCAATAAAAAGATTTACATTTTTTCTTATTTCATTTATTCCCAAAATCTTTTAATTTAAATATTACATTTCATTCTATTGCACTTTGAGAACTTTCAAATATTTTATTGCTGTCCTTTTCTAGTGTTCCAGGTAAGAAAAAGATGCGGATGAAGTAGCCCCATATAATTTAATCCTGAATAATTAAATTTCTTGCCTTCTTCGATGTCTTTCTTCACAATTATCAAATTATGCGAACAGGCCGATTCCTTCGCTCGTGTTGATCAACCCTAAAATAAAAAATAAACATCAGTTTCTATAATTTTATAGTTTAAATCTATAATTGTCAACAATAGACATAAACAGGAACAATAATACGATTGCATTTGCAAGCACGAACAATTGCATTGACATTTTAATGCCTGCACGAGCAATTGCAAATAGAATTGCATGCACAAACATCGTGGGATTTTTTTTTGTTTTCTAAACGACGATATTTTTCTCTTAAAACGTCAAATACTGTACTCAAATACGTATGGTTATTGCCCATCCTTCCATTTGTGCAAAAATTATGATCTTTTTAAATATATTTGAATACTTTTAGCATCGGCCACAGGCAAAACAAATTATATGCATATTAAAAAGGTAATATTTTTTCTGAGTCACACCTAACTTGCAATTCGATTTACGCCCCAATCAACCGGGAGTATGGAATATAAAAAATATACCCAATATTTATTTCCTAAAGTTCACAATGCGTCAAATTTTTCCCATTCCAGTTTCAAGGGTTTCTAAAATTTGTTTTTATTTACTTATCTATTAAAACCAGACGTAATTGCAGTGCAAAAAACGTGTTGAAGGATGGGCAGTAGCCGTAAATAATAATAATACTGTCCAAAAAATATGTTCATATAATACTCACGATAAACGTGTTAAACTCCATATTAAGACCACTTTTCCTAATTCTAATAGCTTTTTACACATAAAATTGCCAGAGCCAATGCTAAAAGTTCTGCGTTAGGTTTTAAAAACTTATATTGAAACACATAAACGTTATATTTAAAAACAAAATGGAGACGGTTAACAAAGAATGTCAATGATTCAATGAGTATCATTTTATGAACGCTGATTAAGTATAAAAGGATGAGCATAAACGTATACGTAAGAGAAGTTACACCACTTATATTAAAGCATAGATGAACAGATCTCGCAGTTATCCTAGATGTTCATCAATTCCGATGTAGTTCAAAGTTCATCGTATCAGCTAATTCTAACTAGAAAGTATAATAAATATTAAAGTACCAATTTAAAACTAAGCACACCAAAGTATAACAGGCATCGATGAGGACAGAGACGATCCTAAAGACAAAGATTAAGTCATTCATGTGTCTACAATTATAGCTGAGGAATCTTCTAATGTTGGGTCAATATGGTTTAGAATCCTTTGCATACGATAATTTACTTGACATTGAAGATCAATAAATAATGAAAAACTTATGGATGATTTTAAATCGATAAGTTCAGCTCAAAAAACCATGTTATTAGCTTTGTTGTTATCAAACATGGCAAGAATTGCTGTATAAAATAACTTTTATATAAAAATATTTGCTAATCAAAATTCCTATGAAGAAGAACGAGCAAGATAACTACAATGAGAAAAGAAAATTTTTGCAAAGCATTACGATAGTAGAAGCCTTGAAAGAGGTTTCTATATCGGGAACACCACGATACAGTCGATTACCATGATTTTATGTCTGCAATTTGCCCATACACAACCTCGCGACCAGCTCGATGGGGAAGCCGACAGGTTGGATGTACATGGACAGCTCGTCGACCAGAATCTTAAATTTCGTCGAAAAATCATTTAGAGCTTCCACCTTGAAGTCGTCGTTCCATGCTACTATGGCTGCTGCAAAATAAAAAATATGTTAGCTTTGTGTTGTTCTTTCGTTTGGGAGTGAGTAGACGGATCCCGAGTCCCGACAGGGTAGATGATTAATTTTTATTTTAATGTGTGTCTGGACGATATATTGATTTGAAATATGGCGTAACGTCAATTCTAGTTACGCTTTCTATAAAATCTAACGACCTTTCTAATCATATCATTATCAAAGGCCTCTTCTCACACGGAGGAGGTTTAAGCATTTATCACCACGCTTGCTCAATGCGGGTTGGTGATTTCAAATTTATAATTATAAATTACAAGCCCAAGTTTCCTCACGATGTTTTCCTTCACCCTTTACATATAACTCGGAAAAAGTCACATTGGTACTTGACGTTGGTAGGTTTCGAACCCTCATGCATGAGAAGTGGGCGTCTTAGACCTTCGGGCGATCACGACTTTTCCAATAAGTCTACTGTAGGTACTTTTATATATTTAATTTTTTTACACTTACATGCTACTGCGAAGTATGATAGTGCCCACAGCCAAAATGGCATCGTGGGTGCTCCCGATTATCAATAACCTATACAGAAAAAATATTAAAATTACAGTCGGGCAAAAAAAATGTTTATTTTATTTTATTGGAACCACAAACAAGTTTACAATAAACTTTAATGTTTAGATTTAATTGATGCAATTTTACTTATTGCAAACTCAACATTAATGGTCACCTCAAATATTAATGATCTACAAAATGATAAACCTGCACCGCAATACAATCGTAAGTTTCATAAGAAGTGTTACCGTGGTAGTTAATAAGCATTAGTAGGCATTATTGTAACTTTATTGGTTAGTTCAGAATATTACCAGCAACAAAGGAGAGAAAATAGAGTCAAGAAAAATATACATAGATAGATAAACTTCAATCACTTTTGCCGTCTTAATTATTTTAAGGTATAGACCGGTTAACGAGCACACAGATCATCGGATGGTAAGCCATGGGCGCCGCCAATGGACTCCCACCAGTATGGCAATACAAGTCCGTTGCCGGCCTTTTGAGGGATTAGGAACTTGAAAATATATGATTTGAGGAATGGGGGAAATAGGAGAGGGTGTGAATTGATCCTCCAGTATCTTCAACTCACAGGGCGCAACACACAACAACACATTGCAAGCGTTGTTTCACGCCGGTTTTCTCTGAGACCGTGGGATCACTCTAGTCGACCTGGGGGCTTACTCTTGAATCCGATTCCGATAGATCGACATTAGTATTGTGAAATTTCGTATCGTCTTGAGTTGCAACACTGGCGCCCATTGCATTAGTATTGCGTGGATATTGAATGAGCGAAATGGTATTGAGTTTGGCTTTATATTCCGCACTCTGAATGCTATTTTAACAAATACGATAAGGGTTGTATAGTTTTGACATTGAATGATTATTGACATTTTATTAGATTGAAATTGCCTTAACATTGAGATTGGTTTCAAGAGTAAGCATCCTGGACCGTTTGTGCATACTTCAGTATGACTCTTTTACACTTAGATGCCATATTGCATTGCTGGATAAAAACCTTCCCTAATTTTCAGACGGACCGGTTAGAAGTGATCGGCATCCAATATTTACGAACTTACCGGGAAAAAATTCTTGCGATGATTACTATGGTAACAGTTCATTTTGCATTTCTGATTACTTCTTTTTGCATAGACGGGAATGATAATATTTTTGTTTACTAATTATTTTTACATTTTTGACACGAAATGACAAGCCAGCTATCAGACTAACAAAAAATTATGAATGAAATCTATGGGACTCTTTCGTTTGAGGTTTTATGTAATTATTTACAACATAAAATTAACTACAACTAAAGTATAAAATAATAAAAAAAAGGAAACAACAAAAATTATACCCTCAATTTAGGCGTCAAAGTATTCGTCCGCATCACTATGACAGGGGAACGTTCCCAGGAGACTGGCAGTATTATTATTATCATCATATATTTATTTAAAATTCTCTATAAATTACATTTTTAAATACTACTTACAAAAAAATAAAAAATAATATTTAAAAATATAAAAAATAGGAGCCGACCAGTAGCGGGAGCATGGTCCAAGCTACCGGTGGTTAGGGCTCCAGAGACAGAAACCTCCTCATAATGCGCGCCGTTTCAAGGAGAACTGCCTTCTGTATCAGGCCCTTGACCCAACTGCCTAACGCTAGCCTCCTAAGGTGGTCGTCGAGGCTATTAGGGATTAACCCATTGGCCGACACGACTATCGGCACAATGATAGTCGAATCTACATTCCACATGTCGACAACCTCGTGAGCCAAATCAAGATATTTGATTTGTTTATCTTTTTCAGCTTTCACGAGGTTCTCATCATGAGGAATAGTGATATATTATCGATTATCATCGTGCGGCGTACTTGTCGGTCTATCACCACTATATCAGGTTTATTGGCTATAATAGTCCTGTCATCCTATATTATCATTATTTTTGTAATTATATTTTGAGGGTACAGGGAATGTACCTTACCTGAATACTGTAGAAAGACAATGAATTGTACTGACACAAAATGTTCGTTCCAAAACAATTTATAACTTGTTAAAAAAGATAATTTTATGCTAAATAACACATGGCGCCAGAAATTATACATTTTCACATAATATATGATTTAGAATATTATTAAGAAAAAATCGCGACACCAAAAATTCTTTTTATTTCTAATTATAAATCGTAGTGCAATAGGGTAGACGACTAATTTTTATTTTAATGTTCGTCTGGTGGATTATTTTAAATCATTACACACGTATTTTTTATTTTCTTACAGAAACGAATACTTTCGACGATATATTGATTTGAAATGTCGCGTGACGTCACTTTTATGTACATTTTATACGTAGAAATGACGTATTAGCCCCCACTCCTAAACTTTGATTCGTTTTATCTAAGTATTGTTTTATTATACGACTAAATAAAAAAATACGTGTCTAATATTTTTTAATGACATAACTTACGGACTAATTAGATTTTTAATTTTCATATCCTGTCGACATCCCAATTGTCTAATCTAGTAAAATATGTTTGAAGAAAAGTAAACAAATAAAAGGAAAATGCAAATATTTATTTACAACTAAGTAAATATATATTTAGGCCATAGTTTTTATTGCACATGACTTCGTCTCGGTTTCATCAGCCACTTAATCCTTTATTTTCCTTCGAATCAGAGGCCTTACTTACCGAGTTTGATTTATGTTTAAAGTATTCAAAACGAGTATGCGTTCGGCACTCTGATTGGCCGGCACCAATGAAGCAACCAATCACAGCGCCGAACGCGTACTCGTTACGATTACTTTAAATATAAAACAAACTCATACTAAGGTCTCAGTTCAAACATTTGATACAACGTCTCATTTTATTCCATGATGTATTGATTTGCTAAGTAAATATCTCCTTGTTTTTACTGTCGATGAGCTTCTTCGCATAATTTAGTTCGCGTACCAAAGTTGCCGCTTACGCACGAATGCCAAACGTTAGACACGAAAATAATTTAAAATGTTTGTTTAAAAAATGATTTCAAATAATTGATTTTAAATAAAAACCAAGGTTTTGTTTTAATTTTAATTTTTATGTGAATAGTTATTAACCTATATTTTTTTATAAGTATTGTGATGTAGATTAATTATTATTATAGTTGAAGTGAATTTAAATTACTTTTTCAAAGTGTGTCGTGTTTAAGTTTTGGTGTGACAGTTTCTTTTTTTATTTTCATAAATTAAATTTAGTAAAAATGAAGAAATATTTTTATATTTTCAATGAAGGGAGCAAGATCAACCAGATCATATGCGCTGTATTGGGTAAGTTTAGTTGTTTTTTTTTTATTTTATAATAATATCTTTGAAAGATAATAGAAGTATTACTATTTTTAAAAGTTCAGAGCATATTTTATTTAAGATACTCTATTTTTATAAATAGAGTATCTTAAATTACGTTACTTATGTAACTTAACATGACATCACACATTTTATCCCCGATGGGGTATGCAGATGTGCACATTACAGCACTTAATGCCACTGTACAAATTAACACCCACTTTTCACTATTTATGTTATGAGTCCCATGTAATAGGGGGTGAGCCTATTGCCATATACCGGGCGCAATTCCAGCCTCCGTGCTACTAATGAGATTTTTATTTTTGAAATCCCAGTAATAAATTATGAATAAAATTCATAATTCTAATAAATTCTATACAATTAATTGTTGTAGTATATTCAATAGTAGCTTATTTAAATAATAAAATCACGACACATCTTACAATTTCGAGGCAACTACTGACTACACTCATATTTTATAGGTACCTACTCCAACTTGTCTTTGGACTTAGTGTCGAATGGTCAAAACAAGTGTAGGAGAGCCATTCTGCGGCACGAATGGGCCGGCTCGAGCAGAGTGATACCACGGTCGAATAGAAAACCGACGTGAAGCAAGGCTTGCGTTGTGTTTCGTCTAGTGTAGTGAGGTTATTGGACGCGCAATCCCCCCCCTTCCACAAACTCCTTAATCCCTGAATTCCCAACAATCCTCAAATTCCTAATCACTAAATGGCCGGTAACGCACATCTAACGCCTCTGATGTTCCGGATATCCGTGGTCGACGCCGATTGCTTATCAGTATGCTCGTTTACCGGCTTATGCCATCAATACATAGTATAAAACAAAGTCGCTTTCGCTGTATGTCCGTATGTATGCTTAGATCTTTAAAACTACGCAACGGATTTTGATGCGGTTTTTTTTAATAGATAGAGTGATTCTTAAGGAAGGTTTGTATGTATAATACATGCATATTGCACCCGTGCGAAGCCGGGGCGGGTCGCTAGTAAAAAATAAATAAACTTCGCTATCATTAGGGTCAGACCAAATCAATGCAATCCTATCATCGTAATCAGTGGATACTTAATAAGATAAGCAAAAGCCTACTCTATTGACTTTTAATTACAGTTAATTATTTTTAGACTATAATGTGAAGTCTTGTAGTGATATTGAATGCAATCAATGGTGTGCTTTCTATATTGCAATTATAGATTCACAATGAACGTCTTGTTGGTCGAGTCATATCGAAAGTTCAATAACCCTGCTTCGGGTAATCGTATCAGGCCTCTTTGATCTCGAGTTTCTTTGATATAATATTATGGAGTTATATATAATGGTTTGGCCTTTCATAACTGATTTATATGTATTGTGTCTAGGGATGTTAGGGAGCTCCATAACCGTAACCGATTCCGAAAACAAATAATCTGATACTATCGGATAGGGGCGTGACTTACAAATGAAACCAATATTTTTTTTTTGTTTATTGAGAAACATTAGGTATTTGTATTTTACTTTTGAACTCCCTAAAAATTTTAGTAATATCCGTGACCGAAATTATCTGAAATTAACGGATAACGGATAAAGTAGGTCACAATGACTTCAAAAACAACAATAGACACTCTTTGTTTGACTTGTATGTATGTGCCTATGTTTCTGCACGAATATCACGTGATTGGTCGATTTGATTCAGTTTTTAGAAGAGTATTTGCTAGGGGG